AAAGAAAAGAAATGTAAATTAAATTTGTTTTTTAATATTTGATTTGATTAAGAGACTGTTTAGTTTATATTTGGCCAATTTTTATTAATTATAATTTATATAGTCGTTAAAATAACAACGATGAAATCTGTGAATATTTTGAAAATGCTAGAAGCTAACAAAGAAAATAGAAACTTTTAATTTGTTTAAAATAGATAAACTAGAGTTTAATCTACTCTCTATATTAAAGATGAGTTATCTCAATAAAATATTAAACCAAGAGTTATTAGAGTTTCAAAATGGAATAAATCACAAAATATAAGAGAGAATTCAAAAAGAGAGGATCAAAGGCATATTAGTTATGAAATGCCCAGATAAAAAACTGATTAATATTAGCATATTTAAAGAACTTTAAAAAATAGAAGTTTAACAAACATCTAGATTTCTATCATTAATTAAACTCATAATAATAATAATAATAATAATAATAACAATGCTTCAATATCATTACCTAATAGTAATAAATGTAAACTTTATTTTTTTATTTGTAGATTTAATTACAAAAGGATTAGATAAATTTTCATCAATAGAAAATTATAGTAATCCATAATTAGTTAAAACTTATAAATAAGATATTTATAATTATCTTAAAGAACTCAATCAAAAGTAATAACAATAATTATAAAATGCTATCTCATATAATGCATTTTATTCATAAAGTTAAATAACTCTAAAAATGAGAAATGTTCTTATTAATTGGCTCTTTGAAGTGCATCATAAACTAAAATTGCAGTTAGAAACTCTTCTGCTTACTGTATGGCTTATAGACAAGTATATTAAAATTTATTATAAAGATTTATTGAAACCCATTTAGTATAAAAAAATAGATTTCAACTTTTTGGAATTGCTTGTTTATTCATTGCATCAAAATGTCAGAATCAAAAATAATGAATTTAACAACAATATACAGATATAGATTTAATATAGTAAAAAATCATTTTTAAATTCAAGAAAAATAGTAAATTCACTAGAGGAACAATTTAACTAAATGTTATAACAGATATTTCTAAAGATATACTATTATGAATATTAATTCAGAGCCATAAATTATAGTAAATACTAGTGAAGATTAGATTGCTTTTTGCAATGAATTATTCATTTAAATTTCTATTAAGTTTATAATATTTATTCAAATTTAGAGGTTTAAATGCTTTTGCCTAGTATTTTCTGGAATGGCTCAAAATTTGAATAAATAATATTGGTTTGTGATAAATACTTATTTTTTTCTTTTATTTTCAAAAAATATATTAAAAGATTTTCATTAACTATGGTAAATTTGATTATGACTATTCCTTTAGCCAAAAGCTCCCAAAACATCAAAGGCTAAGAAAGTTTAAAAGAAAGTAGCAGATAGAAAGAAGAATCCACTCTTTGTTAAAGATGCTAAAAACTTTAGAATTGGAAATGATGTCCAACCAAAGAGAGATTTATCAAGATATGTCAGATGGCCTCGTTATATTCTTTTACATAGATAAAAAAAGATTTTATTGCAAAGAATCAAAGTGCCAGCAGCCATTCATTAATTCAGCAAAACACTCGACAAAAATCAAAGTAAATTGTAAATTTTAATCTAAGGCTCAAAGGTCTATGCTTTATTAAAAAAATATGCACCTGAAACCAAAACAGAAAAGAAATAAAGATTAGTCAAGGCTGCTGAATCTAAGGCCTAAAATTAGAAAACAGAGAGCAAGAAAGTGACAGTCCTTAAATTCGGATTGAATCATGTTACTACATTGGTTGAAACTAAGAAAGCTAAATTAGTTTTGATTGCTTATGATGTTGATCCAATTGAATTAGTAGTATGGCTTCCACAATTGTGCAGACGTCAAGAAGTCCCATTTGCCTTTGTTAAAAGTATTTAAATGAATTTATAATTTAGACAAGGCTAGATTAGGAGCTTTGGTTCACTAAAAAACAGCTACTTGTGTTGCTTTGACAGATGTAAGAAAAGAAGATTAAGCTGAATTTGATAACTTAGTATAAAATAAAATTAATTAAAGGCTCGTGATTTAAGATAACACTACAATGAAAACCATGAATTATTGAGAACCATTGGTGGTGGATAAGTAGGAATCAAATCCAAACATTAATAAGAGGCATTAAAGAAAGCTTTTGAATTAGAAGAACTTAAGAAGACAAGTTAATGATACAGTATTATAAACATATAATAAAAAATATTGAAAATTTTTATAATTGATTAAGTCTTCTAAATCATAATTCATTCTTAATGCTTAAATCAAAGTGGTCTTCAGCAAAATCATCAAATCTACATTATTTTGAAAAATCAACAGGTATAATGAGTTGTTTCTATATAATACAGTCTTTAATATAATCAGACATCAAAAATGTCTTGTCATATTCTGAAAAAAATTGCTCTTCTATTTTAAACTTTTGCATTTTTGAGTTAATAATGCCATTCATCAGAATATTTTTGAAATTTAAAGACACTATTTTAGTAACGTTTTTTTACATAAAAATATTTATAGTAAAAACTTTATATTTATATATTTGTTAACATTAAATTTTATATGTAATAACAATAAACTACAAATAATTTTACTACATAAAACAAACTTAGAGAATCTGGAAATGATAAAAATAAGTCTATTTAAGAAGAGGCTATTTAAAATTTCAAATAGGAGGATATATTAAAAGATGTTACAAATAAATTATAATTCAAAATTCTAAAAAAAAATGAACAATTAACTTAGATGAAGGAAGAAATAATTGATTTATAGGTTAAATGGTAGGAAGATAAAAAAGATTGGTTAAATGAGAAGAGTGAACTTGAAAGAAAGTGTGAATTTTATAAAGAAAATTTGTATGAATATTAATTAGATTTAGAAATGCTGAAAGATAGAATAATTAGAAATTCTAAATTCAAATAGATAAATTAACATCAATGTTAAATCAAAAAATGAAAGGCAAACTTCAATATAATGAAAATAGTGCCTTAGAAAAAGTAAGTGGTTAATTAAATGAAGAAATTGACTCTTTATAAAAGGAGACTGGAATTATGAAAACATAAATATGTTTATTAGAAAATAAATTAATTTTAAAAGATGAAACTATTTCAAAATAATAAAAGAGAATCTAAAAATTAAAAAAAAAGTTAGATTAACAATTATAATAATAATTAGAGGAGAGAATGGTTGATGTAGATAAATAAAAAAAAAGAAGTGCAGATATTAAAGAAAGAGTCAGTGAATTAGAATTAAAACTTAAAAATTTAAGTTTAGAAAGTGACAGAATCAAAAAAGATAATAAATAATTATTATAAGAAAATGATACATTTAGAATATAAAAGGAGAAATCAAGTAGATTATTACCATAATTAGAAGATTCAAAGTAATAAATCATATTAATATTTTAGTAAAAGATTGGAATAAGAGATTTAAGAATATGAATTGTAATTTGAAAAAATGAGTAAATAAATTAAAGAACTTAATAATTAATGTGTTAATGAATAATAACAGTAAACAACAATTAATGAAGAAATGAAAGAAAAGAACTTATAAATTGATAATTTATAAGAATAATTAAATGAATAAATTCGATTATTTCATATTGAATAAAGATCAAACACATTTTTAAAAGAAGAGTCAGAAAAATATAAATTCCAATTAGATAGATTAACAAAATAACAATAATAGTTAACAGATGCATAACATAAGGATTTGGATAATTTAGAGGCTAAAATTGAGAAAATTAGCAAAGAATTGATTAAATTAAGAGAAGAGAACACATTATTGAAATCATAAGTATAGAATCATAAAAAAGAGTAAGGTTAATATTTAGATATGATTGATCAATTATAAAAATAAATCAGAGATTTAAAAGGTAAGAATAAGATTCTAGTGTAATAACATGATGATTTAGATGCCAGAATCAATTAATTAGTTTAAATGAAAAAATAAAAATGTTTGAAAGTAAGAATTTAAGATACAAATTAATAAAAAAAATTTACAAGATTTGAAAAATCTGATAGTAGTTCATTTTCTGATTGATTAGTTAATATTAAATGTTATATTATTCATATCACACTAAAATTAATAAAATTTAATCAAAATGTCAAAACATCTATTATAAATATGTTTTATTGAATAGTTCTTTAGAAATTATATCAGAATAGAGAAACATTTTTTGATGAATATAATTAATTAGTAATAAAAAAATTCATAATAATATCTTTAGTTATTTTAATTTAATTGTTACATAAAATATGAATTATCAAAATATTTCTTTTGTTTCATAATTAATCATTTTATTTCAATTAATTATTAATAAGTGGATCTAAAATTTCTGTATTTTAATGTATTTATTCATTAATCTCAACTTTTTAATTAAGTTAATTTGTTTTTTCAAGATGCACTTCTTCATTTATTATTATAGGCTTCTCTTTTTTTTCTATAATCTTTTTTGGTTTAGGATCTATCCTTTCAAATGCCATAATGCAATGTTAACTAACTCCTTTTTCATATTTATAGTTTTTAATTCCTTCATCCATTTTTCGAATATTCATATATTAAGGGTATTTTAATTCTAAATCTTAAGCAATATCAACCCACTTTCTAACAGTAAACATTGGATATGGTTTAGCTGGTTCAGCAATAATAATCCAATATTGACAATCATTATAATCTATTTCATCCGCAAAAGCCTCTACTTATTTATTAGGAGTGCATTCATATCCAATTGGACAGAAATAATGATCATATGCATGATAAATAAAGGAGACTTTATCAGTTTTCAATCCAGCTGTTAATTTTTAGAGTGCCACATCTCTATCAACACCAGGAGTAGCAAAATCTCCTTCATTTTTCCATAAAAAATAAGCTCTTCCTTATACTTTATGCAACCTACATAAATTCTTAAACCAAGATATTAAAGACATATTTCCACTAAAAGATCCGAATTCTACATCATTAAAATGAGGCCCTACTTCAGATGTTAAACTTAAATAGTTTTTATCATTACCCCAATGAGACAATAACTTCTTCTTATGAAAGTGGATTTAAATTTCCTACACCTAGAGTAGAAAATAAATAATTCCAGCAAGTTACAACAGAAGATATTCCACAACTTCTTTAGTATTATGGTCTACTCAAACTATACCATCTACGTACATCTAAACATCTTCTTTGGCTCATTTTTTCTTACGTAATGGTGAGATTTCTTGGTACTGTATTTTAGACTGACTTATTGCTTTGCTCCTCTGTAGATTAAGTTTATTATGATTATGATTATGATTATGATTATTATTATTATTATTATTATTATTATTATTATCTATTTAGTAATTTAGGTTTTGCTACTTTTTAAGTTTTAAACATATTGGTAAAATCAAGTAGTTATTCAGTATTAGTAGTGTCAATATTTTCTGTATTTTCAACAACCTATTATTCATGTAAGTCTGTTTAGTTTGAATTCATTATTAATTATAACAGATTTAAAAATTAAATTATTTAACAAACTCAATTGATTTTATAATAATCTTAATCACACTTCATAGCAATTAGATAATTTAAGCAAATAAAATTTAAAATATCTCTAATTTTAATATAGGTTTGTAGTTATTGAATTTGGTATGAATTATCTATTGATATATTTTTTTTGTGAAATTTTACAATTATTCTTAATTGAATTAATTTTTATAGAATCAATATATAATACAGTTTTCTTTATGTTTTTATTACTTAGTTTATTCAGTAATCTACTTTTCATATTCTTCAGATTATTCTTTCATTCTATTTTCATGTTTTTTTTTTATTTCTTTTTCTGTTTATTCTATTTTTTCTTATTCTGTTTATTCTAATTTTTCTTTTTTCTTTTATTCTAACTAAAAACTTGATGAATAATAATTACACTTAATTGTAGATTCAACAAATCCTCTTAATATTTCTATAGATCCTTATTTTATGTTTTAAAAGTTTATTTTTTGTTTTATATATTAAATTCTTTCGTTTCAATATTATTACGTAAATCTATAATATCCCTTTCAATTTCCTCTAACTGAATTCTTTCTGCTTAAATATTTTAATCTTATCTTTTATTATTCTCAATCTGTTGTCTGATCATATTTATTTTCTATTCAAATTAATCCTCCAATGACTTTTCCTACTAAGTATGCTCACGTTATTATATTTCTAATTATTTTTAGAGATCTATTAATTAATTTTTCATTAAGTCATTTTATTGTTATTGCTTTTAGATTTAATTCTTTAATTCTTGTATTGCTTCTTTTTTTGTTTTTATTTATTGTTTCTTAAGCTTTTCTTAATCCACCAACTAAATTCTTTTAAAACACAAATCGCAAGATCTTTTATCATTGATCATTTTATAAGAGCAAATTTTGCAAACAGGGTTACCACAGACTCTACTTTCAAAATTTAACAAAATTTATACCAATGATGTAATTTTCCACACTTAGAAAAATTTAAATCGCATACAATACATTCATTTCCTTATAACCATTCTGATTCATCATCCTTCATCTTAATTCTTTGATCATTAATTTTGTTTTCTTGAGTTACCCCATAATTGAAGGATTACTAATCAAATGAACTTGTTTTATTAATCATTCTTAAATTTTTATAGATTTTTAATTAAAAAAATTGAATATATTCTTATTAAAAGATGCTATTCATTTGTATTTTTCTTATATGTATTGTATTCCATATATTAAATAAAAACAAACTTAATATTTTTTAATTTCAATTGTTTATATTCTAAATAGATATATATATATATTTTATTGAATGAGTTATATTAATATTTACATTATTAAATATCCCTAATTCTTTTAAAATATTGAAATTCAATAAAAAATGAAATTTTAAAATATATTTTATTGATCCCTAAAGAAGAGTTAACTTTAATAATATTAATTTAAATTATTTAATATGACATAGAACCAAATAGTAGGAGCTATAAAAATAAAGGATGGATTGTTTATTGGAGATGAATATGCATCTTAGGTTTGGTATTTGATTCAATAAAGGATCGAGAATTCATTATGACAAATAAAGTCACTCATATAATAAATTGTGCTGGAACGGAAGTACAAAATAAATGGACATTAATGGGTGCTAAGTATTTAACATTTAATTGGTTGGAGTAAGATAATGAAGTATACATTAAACATAATATATCTAGGTGTTATTTGATGAAAAAAGTGAAAATGTTAATAAAATATTTACATTCATAGAAGAATGCTTTCAATAGGGAGAGAGTTGTTTAGTCCATTCAGTTAGAGGACAAAGTAGAGCTTGTTGTGTACTTGCTGCATATTTTATGAAAAAGTTCGTTAAAATATTTAAATTTAATAGATATTCATGGACACTGTATAAAACTCTTGAATATTTAAATTCAAGAAGGCCTGATCTTGAAATCAGAGCATCATTCTTTTATTAATTGAATGCATTGGAAAATAGAATGACCAAATAAGGACCAAAAAGAACAGCCTCATGGAA